TTGGGCCCTATCTCGCGGGCGTGGGCCCGACGTTCATGGACGGCGCAGAGCGAAGGACGATCCGCTTCGGGAACGCAGCCGACCTGGCGCGCGCGCTCGAGCTGAATGGGAAAAACGTCGCGGCGTTCCTCGTCGAGCCGATCCAGGGCGAGGCTGGGTGCGTTTGTCCCCACTTCCACTTATGAATGCGAATGCGAATGACTTATGCGGCGCGCAGGATCGTCGTGCCGGACGCGGGGTACTTGAAGGAGGTGCACGCGCTGTGCAAGAAGCATAATGTGCTCCTTATCTGTGACGAGATACAGACCGTGCGTCCCGCTCTCCCCCTCATCCCTCCCTCCATCCCTGCCTCACTTTCTTCCCCTAATCTTCGCTCCCCTCCGCCTCCGTTCCATCCTCCCCCGCTCGTCACTTCGTTCTGCCGCTAGCTGAAGCTGACCTTGCGATCGCGATTTGCAGGGCCTCTGCCGCACGGGCAAGATGCTCGCGTGCGAGCACGACGGCGTGCGCCCCGACGTGGTGTTGCTGGGCAAGGCGCTCTCGGGCGGCGGTAAGTCTTTCTTTCGTTCTCTTGGCGGTTCTTCCCTGCCCGTGCTTCTTTCTTCTCGTTCCCCTGCGCATTCCCCTTCCTCCCTCCTGCTGATTGACGCGTTCGCGTTTCCCGACCCCGCCGCATCCCCGTTTCCGCCGTTCCTCCGCCTCCTTCCCCCCACCCGCCTACCTACCCCTTCTGCTGACTTCGATCCGTTCCCCTTCCCACCGTCTGACGCCGTTCTCGCCCCTCCTCCCTGCCTGTTTTTCCTAACCCTAACTAATGCTCACTGAAATTGCGTCTGCAGTGTACCCCGTCTCGGCGGTCCTCGCGGACCGTGACGTCATGCTCTGCATCAAGCCCGGAGAGCATGGGAGCACGTACGGCGGGTGCGTTGTTTTTCTTGTTGCTCGTTCCGTGCACTCGTTTCCCTTGTTCCTCTCGTTGCCCACCCTCATTTCCTTGCGCTCGTTTCCCTCGTTGCCCACCCTCGTTCCCTGACGCGTGCTCGTTGCGTTGCACTCGCTTCCCCCGTCTTCCACCGTCTTCATCGCCCCGCTATCGCACGCCCACCTCCCAACCTCTCCCCTCTCACAGCATGCTCACCAACAACAAACAGGAACCCCCTCGGCTGCGCCGTCGCCCTCACTGCCCTCCGCGTGCTCACCGACGAGAACCTCGCCGCGCGCTCCGCGAAGCTCGGCGAGCTCTTCCGCGCCTCTGTCCGTGCGCTGCGCTCGCCAAGGGTGAAGGAGGTGCGGGGGCGCGGGCTGCTGAATGCGGTTGTTATCGACGAGGGGAGTGACGAGGACGAGGGGATGAGGAAGCGGACGGCGTGGCAGTTCTGTTTGTTGCTGAAGAGCCGGGGCGTGCTGGCGAAGCCGACGCATGGGAATATGTGCGTCCCTCTCCTTTCTTTGCTCCCCTGCCTTCCCTCTGTGCATCCTTCCCTCGAATTCGCGCGGAGGCTAATGTGATATGCGCAATGTAGAGTCCGCTTCGCGCCGCCGCTGGTGATCAGCGAGGAGGATTTGCTGCGCGCGGTGAGGATTATTGGGGAGTGTCTCGCGGATTTGGATACGGTGCGTTTGCTTTGTCTCTCTCCGCATTCCTCCCTTTTGCCCTTCCTCTAAGTGGCTGTGTATCGCCCTCCCTCCCTCCTCCCTACCTCCCTTCCTGTTCGCTCCCTCCCTCTTCACTCGCTCGCCCTTTCTTTGCGTCATATTTCCCTCCTTCCCTCCTTGTGTTGGACTGGACGGCATGGTGCTGACAGATTGCGCTTGACAGCTCGACGAGATCCCGGGCGAGGTCGAGAGCGAGCAGGGGCATGCGGACCTGGTGACGAACTGAGGCGCCGGCGGGGGTGACGAGCTGAGCGCGGGGGTGAGTGGGCTGCGGGACGGACTGAGGGGTTGCGTGTGTGCATAGACCCTACTGTACCTCTTCGCGGGATCCGCGTATCCCGTTTGTACCGTACCATTGAAGTACCATACTACTTAGTAGTTGCCGTGTATAATGCATCTTTTATCTCACGTGGAGACTTCGCTGTCGCCGTTCGTTGGAAACCCATCGTGCCCGCGTTGGGCGATTCCACGCCCGCCGTGCCAACCATCTCAGAATTGGATTAATCTATTGCAGTCGGGTGTTGGTGCGGTGCTACAGCGACCAAACCCCTTCCCAGACCAGCTTAGTTTAGCAGCTATCCCCGAGCAAGTTACCCAGCAAGGCCGCGAAGATGCTAACCAAGCCTGTCGTGGAGCGAGATAACAAAGCTTCTAGGGTACCTCGAAAAGCGGGGACCTGACTGCGCCGTGCACGTGGCGCAAAACGTAGCCGGAGCTGGACCGATAGCGATAGCGAAGAGAGAACGGTGGGCCACTGGCAGTCCGGCTGACAGCCAACCCCGATTGATTTACGCGTCGGATATGTTACTGCACGCCGGGTATGCATTCAAGTTGCGTGCGTATGTGCCGCAGCGTACTCCAGGTACGCCTGCAGAAATAGCGCTTCATTCGCACCCGCGACGGGGATAGCTGCTACCATACCCAGACAGAGCAGTGCGTTTTACAGTTCCAAGGCCATAGGTACGTACACCCGAATGCGAAAGCTGCTGTCGAGCGAGTCCTGTATCGTGTCGCTTCGACTCGGGACTCGGAGTCTACGTGGAGGCGCAGCGGCGCTACTTAGTAGGGAGGCCAATCAAGCCTCAAGCGTCGACGTCGTCCTCCCGAGGGGGGTCAGAAGCAGAACCCTACCGATGACTCGTCCAGCCCCCAGTGAATTTGCCTGTCGTGTGGCCTGTTGTGTCTGGAAAGTACAGAAGAGAGTTTGGGCGTGGCTGTGCCGCACGTAAACGATTTGTTCAAATTGTTTAACCGGTTGGAATTTGGTTGGAATTTCGGAATTTGTGGCAGATGAACGCAAGATGAACATGGTAACATTCGAAACAAAAATGTTAACCTGAAGGATGTTGGAGGATCATTAATCATTTAAATTCCCACGTAATTCGGACCATCGGAAGTCTGGGATACAACCAGCTTAACTTCAAGTTCTAAGACCTTCTAGCACAAGGGGAATCGGAAAGAGAAGGAAAATGTCGGGATACTGGGCAGTGCCACTGCATGCCTAATTAAATCAAGTCCCCACATAGATCTCGATGCCCAGTTCGGCCAATGTCTCCAACCGTGGTCGGAACGCATCGACGACAGAGTCCAACTCCCGATGGGAAGCGCTACTATACGTGATCGTGCAGGTCCGAATCTGGCTCCCACCCGCTGGACTACCCCATCGCGCAGCCAGCGTGTCCGCGAGCGTATCCAGCATTGTCGTAAACGCGCGATGAATTTGCAAAGGGGCGGCAACGTGCACGAACGCTGCGAGCGAGCAGACGCACGGAAGAAACGCGGAGCCGTCTCCGAGTTGCCGGACCACCGCGGTGAGTACCTCGGGCAACACGCTGCGCAGCGCGAGTTTCTCGAGCCCGGGCTGGGTTTCTAGAAACTCTGTGATGTCCTTGACGAGGCTTTCGTCGGGCTCCTGAATCCGGACGGTCAGCTCGCGGAGCCGGCACCCGGATTTGGCGAGGAAACGGTGGAGAGGAGCAATGCCGATGCGTTTGAGCTCCAGCACCTGCAGTGCCGGGGTGGATATGTGCTCCAGGATATCCGTCACCTCGCGCAGGTGTGAAGAGATGCACAGCGACGTGAGGGACACGAGCGGCGGCACGTCGGGGAGACCGGCCAGCGCGGTGAAGTATATGCCGAACACGCACTCCGCAATATTCGGGGTGTATTTTAAGATGGTCAGACATTCGTCGGAGCTGAGAGCATCTGATTCGAAGCAGGTTAGCTGTTCCCAAGGGAGCGCTATATCTCCCGGAAGAACGCTCGCCAGGAGGCGAAGGTGGCGCAGGGCGAGCGCGCTCCGGAACGCGGTGACGGGCGCATCCATCGGCGGCTGGTAGTCCACAGCCCCGATGGCCAGGCGTCTAAGCATCGGGAGCGGTAGATCGGGCCCGAATAAGTAGAATTGCTCGAAGGGAAGCCCGAGCTCCACGTCGCACCAGGTGTGCGAGTGCCTCTTAAGCACGTCGACGAACCTCCCGTCCGATTGAAAACAGTCGACCACCAAGGAGAGCGGCCGATTCTGCGCGCGCGCCAGCCACGTTTCGATGAGCTCCACAGGGATGTCGCTCCGCGCGATTTTCAGCACGCACCAGAGCGCGGGGGTCGCCAGGACAATGGTGCGCCAGGTGCTGCAGATGCGGCCCAGGAGGAGCGGCGCCGTGTCGATTCTAGGGGCAGAAGCCTGGGAAGGCAGACAATGCACGAATATTTCTGTCATAATTTCTGTCGGCAGTTCAAGGATTGGGTAGGTGGTGCTCCCGACCGGGGTGTCTAGACTAGGTGCCGAGTCATGTTGGGCTTGGGAGGAAGGTTGGGTTAGGCGCTGGGTCTTCGAGTCGACGCCATCGAGGGGATCGGAACCATGCATAGCGAGGATGGACGCTGCGGCTCAGAATGTTGGGAAATAAGAACGCAAACAGACCCAGGAGTTTAACGGTCGTGGTAGTTGGGACGAAGTTCAGTGTCAATGGAATCGGAGTTTGATTGCGGCCGAGACACCGCCCGGCACCCACAACTTGCAAGCACAGCCATTCACAGGCAGTCTGAGTCAATTCCGTCGGAAGGTTGCGGAGAAATCCTAAAAATTCATCCAGGGAAAACACATGCAGCTCAGAAATGCTTTCTCGGTGCACGATCGAGTCGTAGCCTGTTGGTTGGCCAATGGTCAGCATTAATGAGCGTTCATGCTGAGAAACACTCAGACAATTGCAAGCTTCACGTGCTGCGGCGAGTCCTGCCCAAAGCCGAAAAAACGGATTCAAGTCGGATGTAAGATTCTGCAAGATTGGATATCGATATCGATGAATGCGCGAAAAATAACCTCAGATTCCACGGCAAAACGATCCCGCCTCCCCGGATCGAACGGAGGACCTCAAGATATCAGGGAGCCATTACAGTCTCGCGCTCTCCCAGCTGAGCTAAGGCGGGGGGACTGCTATGGGCGAAGTTGACTACAGAGCGTCGGAGATCGGACCAGGACCGGAACCGAAATGTTATGAGTACTTATGTAATCATTTTTACTCAATCAAAATGAGGTTTTCGCAGGCCGAAACCTTTTGTCCACTTTTAAGTTTGAACGGAAGTTAGTGGCTGTGCTAATGAAAATAGTGGCAGGGTTGAAGTCAATTTAGTGGCGATGCTAAGAACGGCTTCAAAATTTGTGACTTTTTAGTGGCCGTGCTGTGGCCGTGCTTGCTAGTGTAATACCTCCCCCATTCGAGGAGAGTTCGAATCCGATCCCCACATCCTTTTTCTTTCTTTGCAGGGACTGTCAGAGTGAGCTAACATGCATCCTAACTTATTGTTGGGTAGGCCTGGAGATGCTGACTTGGAGCGTGTCTTGCTGGTCGAAACCAGTTAAATTTCTGTTTGTTGCATAGGTATATGATACCTCCTTCTTCCTTTGCTTGTGTCTAGTATGTGGTCTACCAATATACTGCTGTCTTACCTAGCTTTTTGACAACTGAATGTCGGGATCCAACATAAGTGGAAAGAGCACGTACCAGATGCCGTGGCTCAGCTCGACCTGATGACATCATATATTCGGCTCTCCCTTTGGTCATGCTCCACTACAGCTCGAGTCGCACAATATGCCGTGCCGTGACTATGTGCCCAGCCCGAAGGGCCTCTGGATGCTTAGGAGCAGCACAGCTGGCACAAGAAGCTCGGGCTTGTATTTATTGTGCTCAAGCTCATTGCCCTCCTTGGAGTCTTCAGGTTCATCACCTCTGGTGTGACCCACATATCCTTTGGTGTCCTCATCTACTACCAGCAAGTGCTCCCCATGACTTCCGCACGAAAACCGCTCTCACATACACTAAGTTTCATGTTCTTCAGAAAGCAGTGGCTTGCGCTCTGAAGTCAGTACTGTTGTCTTCCCTCATATCCATGCCTATTGCTCCTACCCCCCCTCTCACGCACATTCTGAGCAAGCGTCAATCGTCAGCAACTGTGTACCTGCTCGGACACACACATAATCTGTGCCACTCGGAATGTTGCCTCAATATTCAAGTTAAAACATCAATTCAGCCTCTACACTCCAACGGAATGCCCCCCCCCCCCCCCCTCAAAAGGAAAAAAAAGGACATAAGTATGAGGTCTGCCAGGCTTTGCCATGGCCTCACCCCCAAGTCATGTGGTGGTTCAACTTTGCCTTTGTGAGTATTTCTTTAACCTTACTACATTCTGTGACAATTGTCCATACCGGGCGTGGCCTGCACACCTGAATCCTGAATCGGAGACGACAGATGCACCTACCGCACATCCTCGGCCATCGACCCGCCAACCCGTCGCATCCCCCTCGTGCTGTTCTTTGATCGCAAACCTGCTAGCGAGTGCTAGCTGACTGACTGCGCTAGCCGACACTCGCTAGTGCTAGCAAACAGGGACCCATGCTAGTGGTGCTAGGGTGCTAGCAGGTGCTGGCGCCTGTGCTCTTTACGATAATGCCCCTCACGCAGCTATGACTCCCATTGCGCGCTGTAATGCGGACTGTGGTGCTTTAAACTGCCAGATGGTGGGGAGATCCGGGCTATGTTTAATGCTCGTCCTCTAGGGGGAATTTGTTCTGTCGCGGTAGACAAGTACGTAGGGAGGTTTAAATAATATTGGTGGGGATATCCGTACCCGGATTCGAACAGTTGGTTCAAAATCCTACTAGCTAGGGTGGTCCGAGCGAACTCCGATGCCTAGTTAGCCTTCTCGGGTTTAACGGAGATTGAATCTGTTCCACACTTCCTCGGGGAGGAGCTTCGGAAGGCGATGCGGGGTCCAATTCGTCAAGTCCGAGGTGAAATATGGATTTGGGGGCTTCCTGGACCACGAACCACAGTCGTCCGAAGTATCTTTGAGTCGTAGATCGCAAGACCGGGGGATTTGTGTTCGCAAGAATGTTCCGGCAATTCCTCCTCCCTTTACCCCTCTTTGTGCCTCTACGGAGTTTCCTCTCTCTACTTCTCACCCGTTCGCTTGCTGAAGGCGACTTCCTGCGGGCTCTGCACCGTCAACTTCCTTAGCTAGCAGCTACACACAAACTCCGAAGACCTTGTTGTGCTGTTTTGAGAGATTTCACTGCCCTACTTGCGTAGGGGAGGAATAAACGGTTCGATTTCTCCGGCGCTGAACTTTTTATGCCGAAATGTAAACTCCGTTCGCTGTCTGACGGCGGCAGGGGAGTACCGGGGTCGTTTTACTGTGTAACTCGACTCCGGGTGACCTCTAGGTGATGTTCGGGGTGGATATTTAGCTACTCCTAAGCTGGCTAAGGCTTAGAAGGTGAGGATGTGGGCCGAAACTGAGATGATATTTTGGTAGACTAGCTGTAGTATTTATACCCCAGCCCAAGGCTGTGCCGGAGTTGTTCCTTTGTGTCCCATACCTGCTCGCTCGCACGCTCCTCCGCCCCGGAGTTCGCTTATGACTCATTCTAGAACTCCGTGAACCCTTACCCACACCATCTTCAGTCCGGCACCGATTCCGCAACCCGGACTTGTTGGCCCTAGTCTCGGACACTCTATCCAACTTCCGCCTGCAACGGCTCGATAGTGTAGTGGAAACGCACTCCGTATCCTTTCACCCCAGTGTTTGACTTACGGAGAGTCCGGAGTTCGATCCTCCGTCGAGCCCTTTTCCTGTGTTACCCACCTTTTTGATTACCCGGAGTCCTCGTTCCATCCTTTCGGGCCGTTTGGTATTCGCGACTCGATGGCGTAACTGTAACGCATCCTGCCATGGTTCTTGCACAAGCGCGTCTTTTGCAGGAAGTCCGGAGTTCAATCCTCCGTCGAGCCATCCCTCTTTTCCATTCCTTTTTCGTGCACCTCTTACCGGACCTTCGCATCGCTCGCACACATGGTCCGGTGGCATAGTGGTAATGCACTCTGTTCGCGTAGCTGGCGGGAAACTGAAATCATGGAGGGACCGGAGTTTGAATCTCCGACGGGCCTTTATGTTCTTTTTGTCCGTCGAGTAAGAAGATAGGGCGCGTTTTTGAACGGTTCAGTGGCGTAATGGTAACGCACTCCGCATTCCTATGTAGTTCGCAGTATGCTTCACGGAAAGTTCGGAGTTCGATTCTCCGCTGAGCCATTATGAAGAAAACCCTTCTTTTTCATGGCGATAGTTTTGGCTGGTCTTTCGATTCCTACGGCTCGGTGGCGTAACGGTATCGCACTCCGTGATGATCCAATGGATTTTTATATCGATTGACGGAAAGTCCGGAGTTCGATTCTCCGTCGAGCCATTCCGACGGAAACCCTTCTTTTTACGGTGATCATCTTGGCTGGTCGTTCGACTCCTACGGCTTGATGGCGTAATGGTAACGCACTCCGTAAATATGCACATTCGATTGACGGAAAGTCCGGAGTTCAATTCTCCGTCGAGCCGTTTCGACAGAAACCCTTCTTTTTACGGTGATTGTCTTGGCTGGTGTTCAACTCCTACGGCTTGTTGTCGTAGTGGTAATTGACATTTTAGGTAGTCCGGTCATGGCTTGGTGGCGTAATGGTAACGTGCTCCGTGTACCTAACGTTCTCATATCGGTTGATGGAAGGTTCGGAGTTCGATTCTCCGTCAAGTCATGTTGGGTCTGGATATGATTTTTTAAGTCATGGTCCTTTGTGGCTTGGTAGCGTAGTGGTAATTGTCATTTTTGGTAGTCCGGTCATGGCTTGGTGGCGTAATGGTAACGCGCTCCGTGTACCTAACGTTTTCATATCGGCTGATGGAAGGTTTGGAGTTCAATTCTCTGTCAAGCCGCTAGTTGGGTCCGGATATCATTTTTAGTTGAAGGCTTAAGGTGTTGTTCTCGGAGTTCGGTGTTTTGAGGTCATGTCGGGAGCTATCACAATGTGATGGCTCACAGCGCACCTCCAGCGTCCAATAAGTTCACACATTGTCCACAGATTTTTGGCCTGCCATCCACTCTCAGCGGCGTGCCTCTGCCTCGTACCAAAAGCAGAGAGAGAGAAACACGCACCGGTGCCTCCCTTCCCAACGGCCCTCCCCAGTACTGTCCCTGATGACGATCACGAAGACACGGAAAACAGGAGGGGAACGAAGGGAAATGGGCGGCTAGAATAGACGGGGCTCATGGGCGTAGCGCGCAATTTGGGATTCGACTCCCTGCGTCCGAAGAGCCGCGTTGGGCTTCCAATTTCTTTGTAACCCCCAGAGATGGTAATCTTCCAGTCCCTGTGTCACTGTATTCAGACCCTAGTCTCGGACCATCCTCTCATGACATACTGTTCCGGGAACCCTGTCATTGACATGAGTAGCGGCATTTTGACAGGAAATTGATGGCATCACCATGCCTTCCGGATTTGGATGCCCTGCCAAAATCTGAGTCTCAGTGGACGGCTCTAGTATAAAATCAACGACGACTTCTATTGCACCCATCAAGGGCCCAAAAATGCTTTAAATTCATTCTACATGTATTCTTGGGAACAGATTTTTTGGAGCTCAGCTCTGGTCGAAAATCGGCAAAATAAACACCCTTACAGAGCGAAATATCGGAAAAGTTTTCCCAACAATACATGTATAATGGGTTAAAAAAATATTTGGGCCTGTTTCTTGGACCATATTGAGTCCGTGGGAGCGTATATTGAGGCCGTCTGGATCACCGTGAAAACTCGGACAAACAAAGCTCAATTTGCATGCCCTATGCTGAAACAAAAGCCCTGAAGCCCGCAAAAATTGCCAGACATAATTTGAAGCATGTATAGCGCCCGCCCCGTAGTTGGCCTATCTTATGGGCGAAAAGGACAAAAATGTGCATGAAAGGTGCCTTGCCATCAAAAGGTCCCGATCAAGCTTAGTCAGCGCACGATTTTAGAACCGCGCTTGCCGCTACTCACCAGTGTCATGAGAGTCTGGGCTAAAGCCAGCTGATGGCAGGGACCATTGCGCTATCAAAATTGATCGCAAAATCT